TAAAAGCTTGCTATGCTGTTTTTAAAAAAAAAAAAACCTAAAACGGGTAACTCGATATTAAATGGCCGTCGTATTTATTGTGTCAAGTTAATAACGCTGAGTCTTTTCTGTTTTCGAGGACCCTCCTAAGTCATCTGGAAGAACGTCGTTGGTGTCCGGTCCTGGGAGGGGGCTGCAGGGCGCTGGTATCTGGCGCAGTGAGTTTGGAAGGCGGGGACGTTCGCAGTTAGCAGTAGTGTCCTGCGCTTTATCTGCAGTGTCGTCATCAGCCCCCTGGGCAGTAATTTGCCAGGAGGAGCCCGATGGTTGTGCAGGGATGTGAGCCAGATAGAGGAAGTGGGGGGGTGGGGGGAGCAGCTGTGCCTGCTGCGGCCACATGTAAGTGCAGCATCCCAGCCACCTTAGTCCTTCTATGCCACGTGGCTGTTTCCTTCGGACTCATATCTGAGACCTCTTCCCGACCCAGCCCACCCGCCGCCCCGACGAGCCACACAAGTTGCAAAGGCCGAAGAGAACGGTGTCTGGTGGTTGTAAAGAAGCCTGACATCTTTTTCACCTGGACTAAGAGAAGGGCCGACGTGGAAACACCGCATGGATTTGAGCATGGCTTAGAAGCCGAGAAGGTAGTTCCCAGCAGGTGGCATAATTCGGTCATGGCCTGGACCTTTGCTAATCACAGCCTCACGCTTCATACTGACACTTGCTCCTTTGGGTTCTTAATTCGAAAGTCACCGCTGAGAGAGTCACGGAAGCCTCTCCAAAGACACTGCGCTCCCCGGGCGCCAGAGGTGGCCTGGTTCATTCTCGTGGTCCATTCCCTCCGTCAGGATGCCCTCCACTTGCTCAGGCACGTCATCTTATCGTCCACTGCCTTAGATGTTAGGTCTTCGGTTTTAAGGGAAGTTTTAAAAGGACTTGGAAAGAAACTGGCAAAACTGCCTCCTGTGGCTTTCGAAGGATCCTGGAGGCTTGGAAGGTGCTGGAAAGCTGGAAGACGTACGAAGAGCATCTGGGTTCGGATGATGCTTCCCACAGAGGACTCGCGTTACATGATCTGAGAGTTTCTTAGGATTGGTGTGTAAGGAGTGCAGGTTGTGCCAGGCAAGCGAGCTGCTCCTTTTCTTTCCCGTGTTCTGTTTCTCGTCCCTCCATGCCTCACCCCCACGCCCCGCCCCCGCATACCCCCCGTAACAAGGAGGATCGTGAGGCTGGTAGATGAGATGGACGTACTGTTCTGCAGGTCTCTGGACATAATTGAGAACTAAGGACTGGGCAAGAGAAGAGATTAATAGTTAGTCTATCGCGAAGGATTCAGTTGCTTGCAGCTCCAGAGTCAGGATATACGAAAGTTATAAGGAGGCTGGTTTCACTTTGATTTAAGGGTAACTTTCTTGACAATGAGGACTATGTGGCAGCTGCCTGGAGAGGGCAGTTTTATTTGTGGCAATGTTAGAGCATCAGCTGCATGATCGACGGGTGAAAATGTTGTAAAGGGTTTAACTGTTGCCGGAAGTTTCAACCAGTGGCTTTCATTAGACTTACACGGCGTGCTTTTGGAAGCGACACACATCTTTTCCCCCCGAGATTCAGACTCACCGGCCTTGGGAGGAAGCCCAGGAATGGCCACTGCAGGTGTGATTCTCCAGGTTCAGGAACCACCTGGCCAGGTCCTCTGTAGAGCACGCTTCTGCCCCTCCATTCCCTGGGCCTGTGCTTTTCTCAGGTTCTGGGTGTGGCCATTGTTCTCTCCGTTTTAAAGGATGCTGTTAAATGCTGTTGTGAACACGTCGAGGATAGTAGCCTTCGTGGATGGTAAAAAGCCTGTGATTTCAGGGCCCGGCAGTGTCAGACCTGGCTCAGGTGTCATCTAGGTGAGCAAACGGGTGGCTCGAAGGCACTCGATCGTAGCAGAAGCCTGGGCGTCATTCTGACCCCCTTCACTAAAGCCAGTTTGCAAATCTGGAAAGTAAAGAGTGTGTCAGCTTCCAGTGACTGCTCTGCAGGTCCCACCCGTCGGATGCACCAGGAGTGCGGTGGAGAATCAGAGTCCTCGTTCTGGCTTCCCCAGTTGGCCAGTTAGGTGTCCGTGGGTCCCGTGCTAGGTATGCGGGCCCCTCGCCTAGGTATGCGTTTGAACACTGAGGGTACTGGCAGCACCTTCCAGCCCCCCAGGGCCTCTTCCCACCTGATGTCTAAGGACTATACGCACTTAGGGTAGAGCGAGTCTGTGTCTCTCGATGCCACCGGGGTCGAGTGCATGCTCTGG